GTGGTTGAAGTGCGCGGGGTACTCGCCCTGCAGCAGCGCCTCGAAGTGCAAGCGGCAGTAGACCAGGCTGTCCTTCATGCCGAAGTGGTCACCCGTGGTCAGCATCTTGTTACACGTGGTGCACGTGAAGCAGTTGAGGTGATAAACCAAGTCCCGAGCCCGCATCACCATCTCCGAGGCCGAGATGCCCAGGTGGCAGCGGGCGCAGCGCTGCACAGAGAACCTCCTGTAGGGACCATCGAGGGAGGGACTGTGGGGACACACGGTTGGGTACCCCCATATTCCTCCTCCAGGTGCCGCTGCTGCCACTGGGGGGAAATCCCCTCCTCAAGATGGGCAGCCTGGGTCTTAACTTGGAGGGTGAGGGAAGAGGGACTGGATGTTGGCCGAGGTCTGACCCTACCCTGAAATGCAGCGCCCCTGAATCGTTTTCATGCCAACCACGGCTTCTACTTAACCCAGAGTCCGAGCAAGCCCTGGGAAAGCCTTTCCTTGGGCGTGGGGGAGAAACGCCGCACTTACCCTTCCTCAAACTTTAACCCTGCCCTGCACACCAGCGCCTGGGCATCCTACAGACCTTTGTAATTTGGAAAAAACTCAGAGACAAGGAAAGAGGAGAGAGAATATATACACAGACTCTAACCCTAAACCCAGAGAGGAGAGACAAGGAGCCTGGAGCCTGTCGGTGACGGTTTTGGTTCTTTAATCCTGCTCTTCTTTCACTCTCGTCTCCACTAAAGATCCGGAAACGCCCCCATCCGATCCCCCAGCCCTCCCTGCAGCTTTGTTCACACCAGCCCAGGCTGCCTGGGTTGGGGGGTGGGTGCTAGTTTCTACCCCCTCTGGTTGACCCGAGAAACTTCAAAGGAGGAGGGGTGCAAAGACCCCCCCAACCCAAGCTTAGTTAGGGTCTAAGCTCAGAAAAGGACAGCTTCCGCTTTTCTCTGGGTCCCTACGCTTCACGGACCTTTCCAAGAGTGCCCCCCAAATTGCTGAGTATAAAGGTCGTCACCCAACTCGTGCTGGCTTGGAGAAGAGAACCCTCCCTTGGGACTGGGCTGAAAGGAGACGGGCAAGATTGGGTCGCAGATGGGGAGTCCTGAGGGGCAGTGGGTCCCGAGGTGGGGGGCTACCTGTAGTAGTCTTCCTTGCAGTAGATGCTTCCATCCTTGCTGAAACAGGTGAGCTCTGACTCCAGGTTGAGCTTGCACTCGCAGCACTTGAGGCAGCGCATGTGCCACTGTTTGTCCACCGCCAGCAGGTAGTAGCGGTCGGAGATCTTGCCCCCGCAACCGGCGCACAAGGCAGCGCGGTCACTGCTGATGGACGGCATGGTCTGCGGAGGG